CTTGAGCACCATTTGCAGTCCCATCAGCACCAGAGCTTCTCACCAAGTGTTAAATGGCATGTAGGGATGAGAGTCTTGAGAAAGACAGCTGAGCTCAGCATGTCTGGCACCAGAACAAGTTTAATCAAAGAGAAAAAGCTGTAGACCCTCTCATGTTCTCCCTAATTCTGTGCATACACAGCACAGGTACAGAATCAAACAAGTATAAAAAGGTATGATACAGCATTGAGGAAAAAGCTCAGGTGGTGGAACTAATCCATTGCTTCTGTTCTTCACCATGGGAGACCAATAATTGAATGTGGCCTGCATTTTCTGCTAAGTTAGAAATCAATATCAGCGAATGCTGAACATCCTTGGAGGCTGAACAGATATTTGCAGAGGGACCTAGCACAGGTTGCCCGAAGAAGTGGTGAATGCTCCATCCCTGGCAGTGTTCAAGGCCAGGTTGGACAGAGCCTTGGGTGACATGGTCTAGGGTGAGGTGTCCCTGCTCATGGCAGGGGGTTGGAACTGCATGATCTTAAGGTCCTTTCCAACCCAAACCATTCTGTGATTTGCTGTGGACTTTTATTTTTCCTGAGTTGGTAATTGGATTTTATCTAAAAAAACCTGTCAGTTTGAATTTAACAGAAACTTCTAAGTAGTGTAAGCTGATTTCTGAGCTGGGAGCAGGGAGTTGGAACTGGTTTTAGCACAGATGGATCTAATTCCCTGACTTCAAGGGACTTCTTTGCACAGAATCCTGGTAAGCCTGCAAAGCGTTGCCAGATCTATTGGTTCTGAGTTTGTACTTTAGGAGGAATGGTCACGAGGAGGACAAATTGGAAAGCACATTAAAATAATCTGAATGTTGGTAACTGTTAATGGCTGGGAAGGGATTTAAACTTATTCCCCTGCAACAGCCTGAATCTGCTCATGATGCTAATGGGCTACAATAAAGTTGTTAAATACCAGTTTGCAAAGTCATAGCAAATCTCAGTTTACTAGCTAAAAATTGCTCTTTTTTTATGCCTTTGTCTTCTCTATTAGGTATACTTTCAGATGGAGAAACTCCTGCCATCATGTAATTTTAATCGTACAATTTAATTGTGTTCTAACTTTTGTCTCTTATGTAAAACTGCTTAATTTTAAGTGATGTCATTTTAATAGAACAATTCAAGATTTCCACAGCCATTGTGAGTACTGTAAATGACTACTTTAAATAGCAATCAAGCTGTGAATGGGGGAGATGCTGCACTGGGAAATAAAATACAATAAAATAGAATTTTCATGCAGAAGCTTTTTTTCTTTTTCCTCCTTTTTCTAGTTTTACAACACCAGAAGGCCCTGGACCCCTTTCGAGGTGTTCAGATTGGGGAACTGCAGTGGAGGAAGATGAAATGAGGACCAATGTTAATAAAGAAATTGCAAGGTACCCAGGGGTGTTTAAGATGAAGTGAGGAAAGGAGGGGAAATGACAGTTGTCTTGTAGAATCTGTATTGACTTTGATTTTTAACTTGTTAATTGTAGTAAAACCAGACCATCCTCAACTTTTCACCTACTGCTCTGAGGTCAGCTTTGGCCTAAGTCCTGCAGGAATGACGGAGCATCTCTCTGTAGGGTTGATGTTTATCACTAAATACCTCCCTCTTGGATAAGCCTTTCCTGAATCTCTTGGGTTGGATTACTTTGAATGTCCGTTCACTGATTACTGGGGGCTTATGTCAATGCTAGAAAACAATTTTTAGGGAAAAGGCTTAGAAAAAGAAAGTCCTCGGAATTCTTTTTTTAGAGGAAAACTGAAACATCCATTCCCTAGTAGAAAGGTGTTTACAGTGTCTGGGTTGACTTCAAGACTGCTACTTAGCTGGGAAGTAAAATCACCTATGAGCTGTGACAGTGCAGCTTTACATGTTCTCTTTGTGTACATTTATTCTTAATACTGCTTTGAACTCTTACAGATACAGAAGAAAACTCCTGATAAATGAATTTGCAAGAGAAAGGAAGTCCTCTTCTGGAAGGTAGGTTAAATGTCTAGCTTAAATGAGGGGAATCCTGCCAGCAGGCCTGAACTTTGACATATAACATGTTGCTTCTTAAAATGCTGAGTTTGAAATGGTTCATCTTCAGGCTGCTCCAACATCACAGTTTTGTAACATTCCAAGTGTTTATTTGAGAAGCTTTAACGTGTTTCTGTATAATCTTATACATGTGGTTTGGTTTGAGTGTTGCTCGTTTTCTATTAGTCCCAAATCAACAGTGTTTTTTCTTTAGTTCTGATTCAAAGGAGTCCACTGTGACAGTAGAACTTGAGACAGATGAAGTGGTTTTGATGAGAAGACAAAAACAGATAAACTACGGAAAAAACACAATTGCATATGATAGATACATTAAAGAAGTTCCTAGGTAAGCTGCTGGAGTTTCTGGAAAACTCAATATTCAATTGTAAGTCATACCTGTTCTTTATAAGCATATTAATGTACTAAATTTAGTATGATTTAATTATAAGGAAGAAGTTCTTTACAGTGAGGGTGGTGAAGCACTGGAATGGGTTGCCCAAGGACGTGGTAAATGCTGCATCTCTGGCAGTGTTCAAGGCCAGGTTGGACAGAGCCTTGGGTGACATGGTCTAGGGTGGGTTAGAACTGGATGATCTTAAGGTCCTTTCCAACTCAAACCATTCTATGATTCTATGAAATTTGTTATCTGAGACACTTTCCAATAGAAGACATCTATATAATAAACTACAAATTTAAACATTTTTAGCCGTTAAGCCACACTAACAATCTGATGAGATGTGGGTATTTTAACTAGTCAGAGCATGAGGAATGTCCCCTCAAACTTTGTTGTGCTGCAGAAATGGAAGTGAAAGTTCTTGTGGTTGTGCTCATCAACTAGAGGAAACGAAACTGTTTTTTGCAGTCAGTTTTCTTATTAGTAAGCTAAAAGACAAAAATGGACTATGGTTGCTCTTAAGTTTGGAATGAGGTTTTCAGGCTTATGACTGATAATCCCTTTTTTTTATTTGACTCCAACATAAAAAAAACCCTAAGAAGTTTGTACAGAGCTGACAACTTGAGTGCTGAAATTGCAGAGTCTTTTCTCATAAATCATAGAACAACTTGGAATTTGCTGCCTTTTAAATGAATTAATGAGTTTATGGAGCAGACTTCAGCCTTAATGTTTAAAACTACATGTTATGTAGGTGTGTGCAAAACACTAATGAATTTCTCATGTCTAATCTGAATAGATGCCATCGTATACCAGGAGTCCATCCCAGAACTCCAAATAAGTTTAAGAAGTACAGCCGTAGGTCATGGGACCAGCAAATTAAGCTATGGAAAGTTGCATTGCATTCCTGGGATCCACCTACTGAAGAAGGAGGTGATCTGCAAGACATGTATGTACACAATACTCAAGATACCTTTATAGAAATTAATACATAAAATCTCATGTCAAAAGAAAATGGAAAATAAAAACACAAACCCCACCCAGCACAGCCCTTCCTGAGACAAGTCAGTGATTGCTGAATGCTTTCATTAGTTATTTGTCCCCACTTAGTGCTATCCAGTTCCCTCTCAGTCAAAATATCTAGTAGCTTTCTGGACTTAGCTGGTGGAGCTGGACTTACCTAGTGTCCTTTCAGGGGTGTCCCTCACTTCTCTCATGTATGTCCTCTGGGTGAAATTTGAGCTCATTCTGCAGTGCTAAAAGAAAATGCCACATCATCTGCTTGAGCTGGCTCTTTCAGAGCAGTCTGCAGATTAATCTGTGGTAGAAGCAGTGCTGGAGAGTTCTTACTGATTGACAGATCTCATGAATATTGAGCTTGGACCAGTGCAGTGTATAAGAACCTGCCTCTTAACCTTCCTAACCTTCTCCCTGGCTAGTTCAAGAACAGTGGTATAAATTCTTGAACAGAGAGGAGGAAAGAAGTACTTGTAAAATCATCTCAAGGTACCACTAAATTAAAAGCATGGCCACAAGTGTTCACAGTCCAAGCTTCTGTGGTATTCTGGTCTAGAAGATATGCAATAATGTAACTAGTTACTTTCCTCTATAGAAAGGAATAAAGCTGATCAGGAAACATCCAAAATACAAATCTGGGACAGAATGAAGGGGACACAGATGTAACTAATTCCTCAGACAATAGTTTTGTGGTAGTAAACTGCTGTTTTCCCTAACAGTGATGTTGATCTCAAGACTTTAATTCAGTCCTTAGTCAGTTGGGCTGCATTGAGTTGACCTGTTGCTCTGTTTGGTCTCCTCAGTTTGCCACCACTGTCCCTGTGATCTCTGTAGGTGCCTCTGCTCTTGTTTGGCCATCATTCCATCCTTTCTAGGACTGCACCTACAAAGTGCAATTTACCACTGGGAAAAAACAAAGAATTTATTTTAAACTGTGTTCTTTTTAATTATTTTACAGTCGTCCTGTTGACCTTGGTGAGATGGAGACAGAGTCTGTCGGAAGCAATTCTACTGAATCTCAAGCGAGCTGTCAAGATAATGATGTAAGCAGATGTCATTTGCATACATATTTAGTCTGTTAGTTAGAATTCTATCTTGGAGTAGCCTGAATACATGAGAAATTCCATAATGTGCTGTGTTTAGGGACTGTTTATAAAGCTGAGTGATCAGACCCTAAAGCAGCCTCCGGTACCTAAAGGGCCCTACAAGAAACTGAAGAGGGACTTTTGATGAGGGCATGTAGTGACAGGACAAGGAGGAATGGCTCTAAGATGAAAGAGGGGAGATTTAGATTAGATATAAGGAAGAAGTTCTTCCCTGTGAGGGTGCTGAGGCGCTGGCACAGGGTGCCCAGAGAAGCTGTGGCTGCCCCATCCCTGGCATTGGTTTAAGGTCGGGTTGGACACAGGGGCTTGGAGCAACCTGCTCTAGTGGAAGGTGTCCCTGCCCGTGGCAGTGGGTTGGAACTGGATGAGCTTTAAGGTCCCTTCCAACCAAACCATTTTATGGTTCTGTGATATGATTCATACATTTCCCTAGCAGTAGTCACTATGTCTGTCATCTGAGTTCAGAGAGTTAGAACTGAAGGAAGCATCTGAAATGATAAATCTCTCATAGCCTGCAAAAGCAACATTTATGTGTTCAAATCATGTCAGTTTTGAACTGTGACATAAAGTGGAAATACTACTTCAGATTGCAGTATCTGATGTTCAAGTAGGATGTAATTTTCTTGGCACATTCAGACTTTTTGAAGTAGGTTCCTTTTAGAAGAAGAAAGCATTTAGTACAGCTGAGCAATAACCTTCAGTAAAGATCGAGTAATATTCTTCTTACTGGACTTGTTTCTCTGATTACTAAATCTGTATAATGTTTTAATGTATGCACATACAGATCTTAAAACATGCAAGAAGTCTTAGAATGTGGTCAAATGGGCAGAAGCCTTTGCTTAAATCTCTTTAATCTTAAGACTAGCCTTGGGGTTTTGTATGGCCTTTAAAATGTGCGTTATCCTGTTATAGGGTGGTCTAAATGAATTACAGAAGTGAAATGAATTGTTGCATAACTAAACTGGTATTCAACTGCTAATTATTAACTGACTTTGTATTCCAGGATACCTGTTCTGGCACTCCCACCAAAGTTAGACACATTGAATATCAAGCCGAAGGTGAATTTGACTTGGAAGTGTGTTTGAGTGAACCACTTAAAGATTTCGATACTGTGAGTTAAATAGTCCCATACAAAAACTGGTTTAGAAGAAGTTTCTTTTAAATTTGAGAGGTTTGCTTGGTTCCTAAGCTGTTGATAGTAAGAGAGCTTAAGCAAAGTTGAAGACCATTCTTTTAAGTTGTGGTTGGTCTGTATATTCTCTGGGCCAAGCTTATGTAAAAATAGTTATCTGTGTGACTTTTTTAACTTCTTATTTATGTGTATCAGGTTTTTTTTATCACACCTTTCAGTAGAAAACTAGCCAAAGGCAGTGCTTCCCTCCAGTGAATATAAATAGTTAAGCAAGATCTTACTGATTCCCCCCCAGTTGTGTCTATAAGCTGATCAACAGCAACATAGGGAGGTATTTTTGAGCATCTGTATGCTGCCTGGCTTTTCCATCTAGCTCTTCTACAATGATCTGACTTGAAGTAATAGAGGTGGTACCTGAACCATACTGCAGATCAGTGCCAGTAAACTCATCTCCTGCAGTTATGGACTGGAAGATTAACAACAACAAAAAAGGTTCTTTATGTGCAAAAATGCTTCAAAACAATTGAACATGAAATAATCTCAAGAAATTGGAGGTCAATATGCTAAAGCCTGGGCAATAATGCTTCAAGAAGCAGTAGCCTGAATTTGAAACTTGTAAATAGTCAGGAGTCATTAATACAGTCAAGACAACGATGCCTGGGAGAAGTGCTTGATTCTTTTTTAATTTTCCGATTTTAAATGTAAACCTGTTGTAAATGATCACACTGTACAGATTTGCTGCTGAAAGCAGTTAATGTTTCTATTGCTTTTGTATGGGATGTTGCTGGAAAATAAATGGAACTGCGTTTACTTACATGACTCTCATTTCCTACTAGTGGTGTTCCGTGGATAACAAAATGTGGGAAAATACTGAAAGCCATGGATCTGGGACTGATACTAGGCTAGGATGTGTGTGTGTTAGCTCCATTCTCTGACTTTGAGGGAGACCTTAAAAGCTATTTATTTGTGTACAGGCCTCTGTAGTGAATTTAAGACTTTGTTCTAATGGGTAAGCTTGTTGTTGACCTCTTGCAGACTCCTCAGAAGCAGTTTAGTTTTGTAGATGTCCCTTAGCTGGTTTTCAAGTTCTGTTCCCTAGGAAAACTTCTGGAAGAGCTAGGTGGGCACTTCAGTCCTGTTCACCATACGGGATCTTCTGTTAAAGTCACCTCACATGGTTTGATGTCTAAAATGGAATTTCTGGTGTTAAAATGCTTGTCAGGCTCAATGGAGATACTTTTCAACTGAAATGGGTATCCTAGCTGTAAGCAGTATTATTAGCTGTCTGTTAGGCACTCTCAAAATCTGGTAGCTTGATCTGATGGGGGAACTTCCAAGAGGAAGCACTGGCGTAGGAAGGAGGTTGGAGCTGCACCCTGGTGTTACGACAGCCTTCCTAGCATCTATTTTTTCCAGAGAAGGCAGCAAAGTGATAGTCTTGCCTACAACCTGGAGTAAGCCTCTGCCCTCCTGAGATTGCTTTCCTCATGACTTGCCTTATGGCCAGTGTCCTTGGTTGTTCTTAAGTGTTTCTGTTGTGTGATACCTAATTGTAGTAGCTTCAGCTGCAACTTGCTTTGGAACCTTTTTTTTCCTACATCCCTTTCAATCAAAGTGGTCTTAAGGTCAAGCCAAACTCTCCCATGCCTTAACTAGAATTGTTTGGTGCCTTTACTTCAATCTTCAACATAATGACTAAAAGGGGTTTCAGCTAGACTTCCCAGGCAGCACAGTAGCTTCGGAGTGTCTTGAGCTTTAACCAAGATGACAGGCATGACAGACATACCAACTACCTGGGAACTATTTCACATCATAGCTACTTGCTGTTAGTATTTAACAGTTAATGCATCTGAGTCAACCACTCAAAGCTGAACACAAGTTCTGTCTGTGCTGCTTGACTGTTAGTTATTGATAGCACTCAACTATTTTAATACAAGTGTTTTTTGAGGATACGTGTGTTACTTCTGAATGTTTTAAAGGTTAGTGATGAGTAGCATGAAGCCAAGAACAAAACCGTTCATGTCTTAAGCTACAAATAATTCATGCAGCTGAAAGTTGGTGTAGAATAAAGTATTAATGTTAAATGATGTGTTTTTACCCAGTGTGAAATGAGTAATGCAAGATTTATGTAGAAAACTACATACTACGTACCTGGAACTAGTATTTTGTGTCAACTTGAGTCTGTCTTCGTAACTTTGAGGGGCAGGTTAGTACCTGACACTTAGAGGTGCCACAGTTGCAGGTTATCAGGAGACAGTAGGTGCTTGTGCTGCTTATGCACTTCCTGCGGTAAGTAGGAGTACTCAAGCTGTCTGGTTTGTGGTGTTACACTGGAATAGTGATGCAGTGAATTAGGTGATCAGTGAATTGGCTTCTGTTCATGCTATTCAAGTCCTCAGGCACTAAGAGATACATGTAACCTGCTCTCCTGAGTAATACAGGCCATAAAATACCACCTTAAATCCCAGAGTAAATCAGTAACTTTAATCCTTTATGTGGAAAACTAGAATGAGGCAGTACTCATGGAGTCCCTATGCCAGAAGAGAAATAATTAGATTAGATTTTTAAGGGGGGGACAGGAGATGGTGGTGTGGTAATCTGTACCTGAGTATCAGAAACCAACTGTATCCTGGGCTGCAGCAAAAGGAGTGCGACAGCAAGCGAAGCTCTGGGGCCCTCAGCACGGGAAAACATGGACCTGGGAAAACATGGACCTGTTGGAGCGAGTCCAGAGAAGGCCACTCAGCTCCATCTCTTTTCTACCTTTTCACCTTTCAGTGCTCAGTTGTGTCACTTCTGCTTCACAGCGTAATGTTCTATGTTACTGTTCCTTTATTAATGCTAATTTGTCCCTTTGTCTAATTTCTCCCTCATTTTCTTTCCCTCTAACGTGCTCCAGCTAACTTACAGATACCTTAATTCTGCTGGCTTCATTAGAAGCAAACCCTAGGTGCTGTTAAGCTCTTTGGGTCTGTGCTGTCCAGCAAGCAAGCTTACCTGGGAACTAGCCATGTGTCAGTGAAACATTTCAGCCTAGAAATGCAGCCAGAACAGCGTTCAGTAGCTGTTTGTGAAACAGGTTCAGGTGTTTGGGTTTGTCCTGAAGAAGCTGGGCGTCCATAGTAGTGTCTTTAATCCTACAAATCATTCCCCTTTGCTTCAGCTACTTAGAGAACTTAGTTTTTATGGACTGCATTTAAAAAGAGCGCTCGTTTTGTCCGAGTTTGAGTGTTTTTACGAAGGGGCTGAATGGGGAAACAACTTTCTTTTGCAGTAGGATAAAGCCCTCTGGTGGTTAAATGTGGGATAACAGTTGGGTTAATGCCTGGTGATAGACTGCTGCTCTTAAGGAAAAATAGCATCCATATGTTGCGTACAATGGAGTTTGGTTCACGTGGAGAACTGGCAAGTGCTGCTGTCAAACATTAGACTTATTAGGTTAAATTCCATTAAAAATAAAAGTGAGCAGGTTGTTATGTGGGCAGCAGAACCTGTCAACACGGCTTTTTATAGATCTGTGCCTTCTGGTTTGTGTTTCTCTTACTCCCTTAATGCTGAGTCTTGTCCTTCTTTCAGCATCCTTCCTGCCATGCCTGGCTGGCTGACAGCAGTCGTAGCTGTGGGTAATATAAAGCTCCATCTGTTTTGACTGGGTAGCTGGTGTACGTGTGCTGGTCGGATGGCAAGTGGGATGTTCAGGAGCGAAGGTGTCCCACCTTGTCCTTCACTTGTGCATTAATTGGTTATTCCTTCATTCCTTACCTGCTGTCACATCAAGCTTAAAGGAACATATGTACTTTTTTGTTAAATACCTGGGAAGCTTGTTCAAAAATTGGAGGGGGCAGGACAGATGTTTTGAAGAAGATTTGACAGTGTGACTTAGGCCTCTTTAAGGATGCCAGACTGAAACCATCTTTACTCCATGAGTCCATTTGAAAGTCAAAAATACCATTCAAATAACATTTTGTTCATGTGTGTATGTACTAAAGTCATTTTCAGGCTTTGTTGTGTTGCTAATGCAGATAAGCCCCTTGGTACAGGGGCAAGGTGTACCTAGAGCAGCTGCGTGTGCTGGTGTACAGGTCTCTGGGGAAGTCTGGTGGGGCACCAGGCCTTTCTTTATCAACACTGGGTGGGTAAAAGAGCCCTTTTGAAAGGATTTTGACTCAAGTCCTTACTCTTCTGTGTTTTCTTCTTCTACATATGGTTTCTCAAAATGGGAGAAGATTGGTTACTAACTTATAGAATAACTTTTTGAGTGCTTCCTTACAAATAGGGATCACTGACAAAATGTTATATAAATAGTTAAGAGGTTGAAGTCATTTAAGGAAGTGGCAAAAATCCATTTCATTTTCAAAGAAAAGTGTAATGTGGATGTAGTGTATACACTGAAACTGGGTAGGAGAGAAAGTAGTGCTGAGCAGAATCTAATCTATACAAGTAGTAGTTAATTCTGTGGCATCTGGTTAGTACTGAAGCACAAAACATGCAAGGAATGAAGATCTAACATCTGTCACTTCTGGCCCCACTGTGTTTCTGGATCACCAGTGCTGCTCATTCTTTGGGCTTGCCACTTACCTCTCTTGGATTGTGTTTAAGCACAAGAGCAAACTAATTTCTCCCCAAAGTGCTGATTCATGCGCTTGAGAATAACTTAGTTTTAAGTGGAAAGTTGGAGCTTTGTGGGTTATGTTGGGATTCTGCTGCCTGGGCACTTCCTATCTATTCAAGTTGCTGTTGAGAAAGCTCCTGGGAGGTGCTGGAATGGCTCTTCTTTTTAGCAAAACCGACATTCCCTTTTGTGTCCCTTTAGAAAGGGGCTATTCCATTTCTTGTGAAAAATGCTTTGTTTTCAGAAATATGAGTGCAATATAGAGATGAAGATCTGTGCCTGCTCCTTCCATCAGCTTTCATGTGCTGGAATCAAAGTAACTGCAGCACTGCAGAGGGCAGTAAAAGTGCATGTTTAATTACATGCACACAAAAGA